AAAAAAAAAAAGAAAAAAAAAAAGAAAAAAAAAAGTAAATTAGTTAGTTAGAGTTACTGGGACAAGCAGATATATTAGCGGGGGCATGGCAGTAAGATGGGAGGGCCATTGCACGCGTGGCGTTGATGTTGAGGCCTAGGCTGGGGTCATTCCGGTCCTTGACGAGCAGGCAGAGGCACTGCGGGCTGGTGCGAAGGAGAGTGCCGAGTCCCGTGCAGCAGTCCGGCGCTGGGCTTATGGAGTCCCCGCTAACGTAGGGAAGACACGTGGCCAAGCCCACTAGTTGGTTTCCACATTTCTCCCTGTCCTTGTCCACGTCACCACTCGCCACATGCTCACTAGTAATGACCAGCGCCAATAGCAGCAGCATCACCACCTTGTACTTGGAGGAGTAGTCTGCCATATCTCTACTTCTATTATTATTATTGTTATTATTATTATTCTATTGGCCTTTTATTTATAAGCGCAACTGCCCACGCTACCTACCGCTGTCTATGCACTACAGTATAAATAAATGCTCTCCTCGTGCTTTTATTTGATGGGAATCAGCTGCGTAATTAATACGATGATGATGAAAACAGGACGAGTTTAAAGTGCATGTGAGGTGGCCGAGGGGGAGTTGGCAAAATATAAATTCTCATGCTTCATAAAAAATATAAAATACATTTCGAATTTTTTTACTTCATAATTTTATTTTTAATTTTGTCTCAATTTTATTTAGTCTTCACATTTTGTTGGTCACGAGTTTATGTTATGTACAGCAGAGTGCATTTGTTTATTTGTTCACGCCACTCAAATCTAACATGGAATGGATACATAAATAATTGTCCTAGTGATGTGTCTCCTCTTAGATCTGGAGTGAAGCGATTGAGATCGATGAGCTCCGATCTGTTTGAACCGGCGCCAAATTGCCATCAACACATGCAAGAACTCAACGCCGGAAGTGTTTCCGGCGTAGAGCCTCTGATGCTCAAGTTAGTATCAAAAGGAGATGAAAGTGCTCTACTCAGAGGGAGCAGCAACAGCAGGATATGGAAATGTATAGAGAGTGTAGAAGTTAGAGTTTGGTGTTACTTTCACCCCTTATATAGAGAAAAATACCTGCTTGGATTACCCAAAACGCCCCTGGTCGACCGGCCTAGTTACCCGGTCTATTTGTAACATAATCACATCTTAGTCAGATCCGAGCCAACTTAAGATTCCATCTTATCCGATAAAGATTCATCCTTATCCAGCGAGTTAGCTTGAATATCCTAAAGTGCTTTAGTCGTCATATACCTCGAGCTTCGAGGCATAAAGAGTCGACCTCGAGTAATAAGAAGTTGACTTGGAGTTCACGCATATGGATATATCAGGAGGCTCTACCGTTTGTCCTTGAATCGTCCTCGTCATCTTGATGGAAGTCGACTTGATCAGTTAGTCGACCTCCATTTAGATGGTTAAGGGAATCGACATGAGGATGTCGACTTCCCCTCTCGTGGTGATACAGAGGGCCGACTTGTTGATGTCGACTTCTTCAGTCCTAGTAGAACAGAGAGCCGTCCTGAGAGGTGATGCTTAGGTCGACTCGTCATCCGGTCGAGCAGTTGCTACTTAAGTCGGTATATGATAATATGCCTATATCACCTTGCATAATTTTAGTCCATATCTATGAGATTACATGTTTTTATTTCGTGTTCTATTGATCTGTTGGATTAATGAAATGTGGACATGTTGATATCATATTTGTGCACGTGTTATTTATCCAATGAAATGAAATACCAAAAGAAACAAGATCAAATGCTTATGCTCGGAATATTGTTCAACTTCATGCTTATAGATGCTCAACACAACTAATACAATCCATATAACAAAGCCTCTAGCGTAGTTATTAATTAAATTTCATCAGATTGGCTTGAGTTTATAACTGTAGTATGGTTTATCCATTTCGTACGTATGTATACCATTTTCGATTTGATCGTCCATTTGAAAATGATATTTCATCTATTGTTTCATAAATTTATATTATTGTTATGCATATGTAGAACTTTATGCATCATGTTTGTTTTGAAGCATAGAATATTGATAGTTTTGAAATACTAACATCGTTTGGAAAGAGAATTGGTTTGGATTTAATATAGTAGTTGGCTTGTTTTGTTTTGTGTGTTTGGAGTGGGGTACATAAATCAGATGGAGATAGAATAATGCAGAAGTATAATTTTTGGTTTATTTGGAATCCCGTGATTGGATTTTTGATTCGTCCCGTGAACTAATAGTGAGTTGTCTGAATGTGATCAGATTTAGGTGTCAATTGAAGGGAATCACTGCCAAACTATGCTATTGCCAATTGACCATAGATAATTATAATCTCTCCCTTTATACATTATTTAATGTTGGATAATTATTGTTATACATACAAAAAATTAAATAAAAAAAAAAAAACATATACTCTATGGACCGGCCTATTAAACCAAGGAGAATGAAAATCAGTCCTATTGGAGGCATGGGCCTATCCGTGAGAAAGAAAAACCTAAGAAATCTCGCTACCGAACCCCTGCTGATCCACATTCGTGGCCAAGATGTCAATCCATCTCTATTTCTTCCGTATGAGAATGACGATGCCCCTGCATATGAACAAGAACCGGAAAAGCACGACGTTCCTACCGGTCTCATCATCAAAAATTAAGATTTTGCATGGGAATGCTGATGAGGATTCTGTATTTTTCTAACTCGATTTGCTTTGAAACTCATGCCCACGCCTTGATTTCAGAGTGATAGGTAGCTAATACGCGCGTCGACGCCTGGGTACTTCGTGATGTTGTGAAGAACCCAGATCTTCGTCCTATTTCTACTACGATATTGTATGTAAAACTCACAAGAATTCTAACACATGAGATTAGTGAACAATTGTTCGATTTTTTATTAACTTGACGAACGATGAAAATGAACTAGGAACAAGTATTTAAAGGCATAAAACTAGTCCTAAACCTATGAGAAGATCTAATCCTAAGAGAAATATAATTATAACTTAGGGAAACTATGCTACCTTATTCTAGAAATCCCAAATATAAATAAACTCCTAAACAATCTAGGAGAATCAATAAAAAGCTAAATAAGTCTGAAAATTCAACTAGGTCCCTCGGAGTAGCTTCATGTGCCTTCTAGATGGTTCTCGATCACTTGGCGCCCAAGAAAACTCGTCCAGCCACGTGAGTGCGCGGACATTGGCTGTCGCACCCCACACGTGTGCGCTTCCTGCTTGTGTGTCCTTGTGCTCCTGCCAGTATCGGCCTGTACTCTCGCGTGGTCATTGTCCGCGTGTCCCAGTCCACTCGCTCCCGTACGCTCACGTGGTCAAGCGTGTCTCAGGGTCGCCTCGTCCATTTCGCGCCCGCAAATAAGTTCGCTCGGCTCACGATTGTTCGCCTTGCCCTGTCCTCCTACGCGCTGCCTCGTGTCTGCACATGATCTCGCACTGGTTCACTCGGTTCGTCCTGTCCCAGCGCGGCTGCTCCGGGTCATCTCGCACTCCCTATTGCGGGTCTTGGCAGTGACCCGGGTCTCTCTCGTGCGTGCACGCCGGGTCCGGTCGTGGGTGTTTGCGGCTGCAAAACCCACATTTGCATTATTCATGTCACCTTTAAGCATATCATTGTCATTCTCATTATATACTGAAAGTTTGGTTTTGGATGACAATATATTTTATCTTTGTTGAATGAGAATTATGTTTGATTAAATAAGTTATGCGTTCTGTTGTTTTGCACTTAGATAGAATGGGTCATCATCGGGCGAACAGAAGATCATTCTATCAGTTACTTACGAAACAAGAATTGTTGGTTCACAACCTAGATGAAAATGAACAAACCATCAGAACGGTTGTAGTGGCAACTGAACGGTTGGTCTTGACTGATTAGTTGCACTAGTAAATTTATGTATTGAACAGGATCCCAGAGAGTAACAGTTTGTTTTATACTGATCGTCGTAAACAAACCTAAGTCTCGGTTAATTACTGCATTCTCTTAACCCGTAAGATATAAGCAGACATGTACATATGGTAACTATTACTTTGATTCACTGAAAGTTAGATTCACTGTTAGAATATTTACGATCACCATGTGCGATACTTTGATGATGTCCCCGATGCAACACCCCGCTACTTAGGGCCAATTTTTCGCAAATTCTACCTTCGAAAATGCTAATAAATTTTACGCAATCATTTGCAAACTTATCTCGGGATGCTGCTAAAAACTTATTTGCTTGGAAAATCCGTTTTTTTAACTAGGTCTATCAACTGGTTTAGACTTTAAGAAAATCAGATTTAAATCTTTCATTGAATCTTGCATTTTAACTGGTCCCGTTCATACTGGCGAACTGGATAAATTATTTAAGTCTGAAAGTACTGTCATGCAAGTTCGAAATAAAAGCAAAAATAGCGGAAGTCTGAAATTGCGTGGTCTTAATAGTTATACAAAACATGATAACAAATGTCCCTGGAACGGCTCGCTGTGCCGAGTCCACGACCACAACCACCACAACTAAACTCACGCCTGCCCGCCGACCTTGCTATCTGAAATATAAAGTGGGGGTGAGTACGGTCCACTTGTACTCCATAAAAACTCATTCTAAAGTAAACAACAATAATAATAATGATATCACAGAACCGGTATATATAAGTAAACTGAAATCTCCCGGAACACTATGGCCGGTAACTCCCGGACTCTCTGGCCGGTAACCGTGCACACACTCTGATGGTATAACTATGGCGAACTGGGCCACCACCAGAACTTAAGGAAGGCAAACTTGGCCTTAACCCCAAGCGGATAAAACTATATACATACCTGAACATGATATCGACTATTATACTCAATGTATAACCCACACTGGGTCCCCACCTGATCTGCTTTGAAAATATGCAAGTGCGATGTGCTGGTAGCTGACTCCTCAAGCTACATAAAAATACAAGCAAACAAATATACTAAGTACTATGCTCGTCATATGCTCAATAATATGGTAAGATGCTCTACTCTATCAGATTACTCATCCGGATATAAAGGAACGCTTTAAGAGTTCACTAAAATAATTCTAAGTCTGGATTGGTTTGGCTCGGAAAATATACTAAAATTTCAGAATATAACTCGGACCAAAATACTCGAACCAAAACTGACTCGAACCGCCGGCTAAACCGGTCGGTTCGCTCACTAACTGAACCGGGTCGGGCTGAACCGGGCCGGGTTGGACCACCGGTTCACTCTGGACTGGTTGGTCAGGGGCTGCTCGAACTGGCCGGGCTCGGTCCCGTGTCGGGCCTGCTGGGGCCTTGACACGGCGCTAGGCACGAGCTAGGTGCGGCCGGGCCTCGGTGCTGGGAGTTGTTGAGCGCGGACAGGCGCGGCCAGACTCTGCTGGCACGGCTGGGTGCCACTC